CATTTTGAATTCACGGAGTTGAATAAAGTATGAAAATTCTATTTGTGTTCACTTGTTTAATGCGAACACAACTTGTATACGGTTAAGTTGGTATGAATAAATTGTTACTGGATGTTTACTGAATAAGGAAATGTCCAAAAATTTCCATCTCTTTTACACGTAGGAATAACAGATAACGATAGCTATAGGCTTTTAGCGGTTTGTTATTTTTTTAATGTATATCTATCAATCTATACTAATATAATAAAGCGCAAACACACACTACTTGGTGACGTAGGATGTCAGCAATCACAGCATATTTATGAATATTTCTTTCTTTAATAAAAAGCCTTACATTTACTACACGCTTTAGCCTATATATTTTGACGATATTCAACTTAGAGGTTAAATAAACTGAAAAAAAACCTTCATGTGGGAAAAGTACCATAAACTACAAGCTGCCAACATCAAGGAAGCAAGGTTGCCATGGTTGTCATTTGTGCATTTGAATTTTGACATTTGTAAATTAAAATTTAACAAATGTAAACAACAAAATGTAGTTTTAATTTCACGCGAATGAAGCCGCACGGGAACTGCTAGTGCTGGGTATAAGTAACATCTATGTACGTTAAAGTACGGAGTATTTAATACTAAAATCATGTTGCAAAAAATCTGTAAATTGGATTGTAATTTTTATTTTATCTTTTTTATATTTTGGATTAAATGTAAATTGATTTTATCATCGTTATTTATAAAGCTTTTATCGTAGACCCAATTTCACGGATCATTTACATCGAATAGTGAACTCGAAGCTTTTCAGCATATTTGTATATTTTAAAATAAAATTTAATACGATTATTAAGTAAATAAAGAGACAATACTTGTATAAAAAACTTTGTTTATTTCAGGTAAAAACATTTGTCAAAATGCCGTAGGTATCTTGCGAGGATCTTGGACTATTATCGAAAAACGTAAGTTGCCGTTAGCGTGTCGACTTATGTGATTAAAATAACAATCTCGCAAAACTTGATTACTTTTGTCGTCCGTATTCAAAGGTATTATTTTTTTACGACAATCTGATAAGATTGGAAATTAACATGTATGTCAAAGGAATATGAATAAATTTTATATAACGTTAATAAAACTTTATTACAGTAGGCTTACGCTGTGTCAGTGTTATAGTAGGGCTCGGTTAGGCGACCGTCTAAATAGACTAAAAGGAGCACCATACGTCTACGAATTAGTCTCAAATTCTCTTAACCTCATGCAGGTAAAAAAGGCGCGCCGTTGTAAACTCGACCATGGCGCTAGTGTCGCTCTCATTCTCTTTTATTAGACTACTTATTTAATTGATACTGTCGCTTTAACTCAGAGTAATACTTCTCGTCAAGACTCAAGTTACGCGCCAATCTATTCATGTTTCTAGTGACATTGACAGCTGTCAGCTAGGGACGTGACGTTTATGCCGATAATCTAGAGTTGCGCCAATTCTAAAGCACGGTACTAATTTTATTCCTAACACTATGTATAAATATAGATAATACAATTTCATTTGGTAGTTAAAAAAAAACTATTGTTATTTAACGGTTCAATCGAATTTGATTAAATCGCTTAGATATAAAAGAATAAATGTAACCGACTAGCGAACGATCGCGAGTGATTATTTCAGTCTATTTCACTCCTCTATTGAAGCTCAATAATACAGAAAACTGAGCTTTACAGTCCATTATATTGATAGAACAATTTGTCTGTTGATTTGTAAATGTATTTTGTATTGAGATATTGAATTTAATTAAGTTAAACTGCTTCTTATAAATATATTTGGATAGAAAAGTGTTAATATTAACTGCTTCGTTTAAGAGACTTAGCACAATTAGCGAATGTAATGATAATTACGTATACAAATTTTGTCGCTTAGTGTAGATTTCTATTACTACATCTTAACTAAGCTACGCTCTTAGTGACCTCTTACCCAATTTTACAGTGGTAGTGCCCGCTTTAACATCTTAGCACGAATGGGCCGGCACGCCCGGTGTAATACCACGACCACACAGAAGACAGGCTTGAAGTGGAAGCAATTCCGTGTTTCGTCTGATGAGTGTGGCGTCGGAGGCCTAATTTAAGTCCCTTTCTCTTTACCACCCTTTTCTTATAAGGAGAGGATGGGAAGGGAAAGTGGATTTGACGGAGGAGGAGATACATAGGAAGGGGCAATATCCTCTTTATGTGCATCTCCTCCTCTGTCGGATAAGGGTAGGAAACGCTTTTGCAATTGCGGATGTCTATGGGCAGCGGTCGCTTCGCCATTTTGGCGGATACAGGTGGCCGCTTGCTCGTTTGCCACCATTTGTTATAAAAAAAAAATTGAGTGCGAAATATAAAATATTTAATTAATGTCTTTACAAAGAGATTGAAACGAAAAGATTATGTAAGCTTAGTGAAGCTCGTTCTGTATTTAAAAAGATTTTTTCAAAGCGCGTTTAGGAAATTCTCACGCGTCTCATTTTCAAGAACAAATCGTTGAACGGTTCTCGTTTGCGATAGATATTTGCGATGGGATTTCGCAGATCCCATGTGTATCTTGATGCCGCTTGCCTAAAGCCGGGATATAAATTTCATTTAACGAAATGGAAAATTATATCGAAGTAACTTTCTATACCGGAAAATATTAAAGATTAAAAAAAAGTTTTCCTTTTACAGCTACTTATGACATTTTTTTTATTTCCAATAAAAAAAAGTCCAATTTTAAACAACGTCGACAAATTTAGCGTGCCGCAAGCCTATTTTAGCCACCATACCCTTTTCGTCCTTTTCACACGAGGAATTAGTGGGAAGGGAAAATGAAATTGGAATGGAAAAAAATGCAATGGTACGAACAATATTCTGAGCGTCCTCTACCCTGCTTTTTAAAGGTAGGCAATGTATCTCCAGTTTCAGATGTCTATGGGGGCTTCGATATTTTGGTTGGCTAATCAATTACAGTAGCTGCTTGCTCGTTTTCCATTCATTTAAATCTTTAAACAATAGTTGCACTCTCTTATTCACTCACTCATTCAAGTTTCACTCAGTTTAGTTCATTCATTCATTTAGGAATTTGTTTTAATCCACTGATTAAAATTGAATTGTCAATACAAGATGTAACTGCACAAGACATTCGAAAATTCCTTATTCAATTTATATCGAAATGGAAATTTAAAGCGCAATGTTGGAACGCACAGAAAAGGAAATTGTACATTCCAACTGAATTGTTGCTAGATTTAATACATTTTCAATTTCGATTTACGTAACTCACTGTCATAAGTTCGTAAATATTTAGAATACGTTTGGTAATTACGAATAAGGAAAAATCATAAGGCGATTGTTTTGTGTTGTTATTAAACAATCAATTGTATTGTTTTAAATTTATACAAACCTTTTACAATAATTAATATTAATTTCATCCTTTTATCCCAAAGTAAACCGTAGTTTAGGATCTTACGTTTTCTTTGACGTCGGTAAAATTAATGATTCAAAACCTTGAATTTACTAAACTTTTGTCTTAAAATCTGTCATTTAAAAATAAAATCTAAACAGCATTTGAACCGACGAAGTCCACAAACTCATATTCGAAGTCATTATATTACACGCCCGAAGGGGTACTTATTATTGTTACTTTATATAGATGTTTGCATAATGTTTGTATAATTTAATTGCAATAAATAAATAAATAAGATAATTCGCCCGGTAACAAGTAAATACATACATTCTAAAGTTATCTCAGGATATATCAAACCAAATGCAACGTATCGGTAATGCAATCGAGCGGTCAAAACCCAACGAAATATCTACGAGTACAAAGAACTTCCAATACTCTCGGGATTCAAGATTGGAGTGTCTTCCAAAGATAACTATGTGTGGGACAGGGCGAATTAAATTTGAGAATCCCTCGATTCAAATCGGAATTAAAAGGATTATCTTTAGGTTACACAATTAATTTGTATAAATGGAAGAAAAAAAAAATGTTTAGAGACCCAAAACAAAATTCTGGTATCTGACTGTTTGTGAGCGCTTATGAATCGAAGTGTTTAAAATTTGTTTTAGTATACGGCTTTTAGATATTGTAATTGAAAATACTACAACGGCGTTGAAAATATAATTCCAAGTATTAAGAAATCTTAGATAAAGGAAGTTGTGATTTGAATTGACTGACATATGGTTGGACATGTAATAATAAAATGTTTGTCAATTTAAACGGAACTGGTCAAAGTTCGGTGTTGTTAGACGACCTAGATAATCTTTTATGGGTCAGGTTGATGAAAATAGCTTCAACCTTATTAGCTGAAGAGCCAATTAAAAAGACAGGGTTACTAAGTATGTCGCAGCCACATTTAAGATGTATTGAATTGAATAAATCTGTTTGGAAGCAACTAAAAAGAAAGAAATCTGTTTGAAGATGAGAACTTTGAAAAAGTTTTGTAAGGTCGTTCAATACTTAGTACTAATATTGTAATTACGAAAGTTTAGATGGATGAATGGATGTTACCACATATCTTTAAAATAGCTTAAAGGATCTCGATAAAATTATACACAGATGTAGAATATGTACAAGGAAGAACACATATGGTATACTTACTAAGGTTTTTTATTTCTAAGCAAACGAAGTCGCAGCAAAAGCCAGTGTACCAACATGTAATAACAATGAAGAACTGCTTTGACAACGCGATAGGATATATTTAGTATATATTATGTCAAATTATAAACATTTTGAATTCTTTCCTGTTGTCGCACGGAAATTCCTTTATTATTATGTCCACCAATTATTATAAATATAAAACATTTGGTGGGATAATAATTGTGAACATAATGGCTTACTTTAACGTTTCAATTTATAAACAACGTTAAAACAATGGAGATGTTTAAATGTGATATAATTTACTATAGGTTGTTCGAGCCATAACAGTGCGTCAAAGTATGATCTCATATCACAATAAATGTTCTTTGATGTCTCGAGAAAAATTTAGCAAATCAAATCGTTACACGATTTTATCGAGAGCATACGTGTAGAATGCGGAGTAATTTTAATTTATTATGCATAGTGTTAATAATAGAATTTTCCGTACCGGTGTTCTGCAGCGCAGACGATGATCAGAATTTAGGTTTCGGATATAGTGAAAGAACAGAAGATTCTGAAAGTGAACAGGAATCAACTAATCCAACGAGCTCGGAAACTGATAATATGTCGACAATGGATGAAACACAAGAGGTAACGACAACTGAAGAAATATTAGGCATCACGAAGAAGATAAGAGTAACGCCTAAAGTAACACCGACAAAAATTTCAAAGAATACGACCGAAGTATCTTATACTATAAAAGATATTTGTGCAAATTTTAAATACGCAGGTCCGATTGTGCTCAATAAAATGGTAGATTTGTGGCAAACGGCTTATTATAGTTCACCACAGAAAGTACCATGCTTTAAAATGTTTATCAGAAGACTTACTATGAAGGTACGTTATAACATTTTTTATCTTTTTAGTGCTTTATTTTGTTGAGAATTATTTATAAATCAGTCCCATTAATAACATTTTTGTAAAATTAAATGAATCAAAATGTTTTCCTTATTCACTTCTCTTCTATAAAGTGCGTAAATGTGAAAGCTATGTTATAAAAATTAGGAACTAAACTATTGAAAATGTTTATATCCTCATAATTTTCATAATCAACATTAAAATGAAGTTTCTTGTTAATGATAATTATTTTGATTTTCTTAATAACACAGGAGAAACAATTATTCAAACTGAAATATGGTAGTTTTGATGACGCGGTGGAATGGGAGGATTGTAATTTAGAAATAAGATCAAGCTTGGAGGCGGAAAAGCATTTCTTACAAGGATGTGAAAAAGGACACGGAGTTTTAGAAAACATTATTATTGGAGCACGCAATGGTGAGTATGAAAAATCATGCAAATTATTAGAAAATAATGTAGTAAATCCCATTTCAAACGAACGTCTAAATTTCGTAAATTTACGAACGTCAAATTGCTTAAATGGCCATTTTACTATTTCACATATAAGGCTACGCATTAACTACGTTAAATCTTGAACTCTGTCATAATGTAAGCTAAGAATTCTTCCGGAATAAATTCTGCATTCGTTTGAAAGTCGGAAAACTGGAAATGGAATAAAATGGAAAGTTAATATTAGAGAAGTTTTTTCATGACGGTTATTGAGTAATAAAGGAATTTATTGATTTAATTTATAAGAATAGGGGGCAAACGAGCGCCGTGAACACAGACGTAGTCACCGATGTCAACAATTTCTTAATGTATTGTTTACATTGCTTAGGTTTAAACTAGCGATCATATAGCATTAAAATCTAATTAATTGTTAACAGTTACAGGCTATAATACTACAGATTTCTACCAAAAGCCAGAAAGTCCTGACCAGTGGCTTGTAGTACAAAACTTGTTATTAAAGAGAAATTGCGATACTGGTGATGTGATAGTTTTTTCAAGAGTCCCACACAAACCTCGCAACAGCGTGATAGCGGAGGCTCTAAAAATATTTGGAGAGAGTGATTCTGATGGCAAATTCGTATGCGGTGATCAACCACCGATCAAAAAGAAAGCTCACGAAGTCGAAGAGGAAATCGATGAAAGTAATTAAAAACTGAATCACAGCAATACAACTAGGGTCTAGGAATATTTTTTTGCAATTTTTATTTTTATATTATTCAATTTAACAGTAGAGTAAGATGCGGTTAGTAAATAAAAAAATACAAAAGGATACTAGTGTTTCTTTAATAGATTTTAAAACCTTTTTATTCATAACTAACTGTTGCTCCCGACTATCCCTGCGTGAAATTAAAAAATATAGCCTATGTTATTCACAGATAACGTAGCTTGTTAATGGTGTAAGAGTTTTTGATATAGGCTCAGTACTTTTTGATTTGTTGTAATACACACAAAAATACAAATCTTTCCTCTTTATTATATCAGTAAAGAAGTACAGACTAACCAAGCATAGGTATTTTCAGTAATAGGAGACAAATAGCCATTAGAAAGTTAAAGTTATCTTAAAAAAAAGTAAGTCAATATAGCTAAAACTCTAACTACAACGAGCCAATATTAATGACCTAGTTAATATACAGTTTGGTGTCAGTTGATAAATAGTAGAGACTGAAAATGACTAAAACGCCTTTGTCAAGGTGAGGATACAAAACAATTACTTCAAAGGATTGTAGAAATGTATAGAATGGACCCTTTGTTAATGCAAATGACTTGGCAATCATAATTAAACCGTTTCTATTGGTCTGTGGCCGACAATTTATCCGTTACATTGTGTTGATACAGTAAGGAAATTATAAGGTGTGTTAAAATAAGTACTTCCATATCTATTAGCATTGATGTCCCCAAAGAGAGGGAGGCAGAGAGGGACAGTTTTAGAATTTGCAATTGTCTAAGGGCTTCAGTACAAATATAGGTCCAAGCGTTCGGAAGCGAACTTTCCAGCTGTTAGTGTGCTGCCAGCAGTATTTTCAGCAATTGCAAAAAGGTTGCTCTGCTTATATTTGAAATGAAAATAAAATTATTAATACGTTCGTTTCAAGTCACAACGATCGTAGTAGATTCAAGAGTAAATCTCAGTAATAAATGCTCATAAAAATTCAGTCTCCGGACATCAATTACTCAGTCCGCATTTCCAGGAACGCTAGTCAAGTACTGGTTGAAAGCACGTCCGTATTCAAAACATCGACCACTCAAAAGATTATTCAAATGGTTCGATTTCATATTCAAACGATGCTATTGATAATTTTTTTAAATCTCAAACATGATGTTGAATAAATCTATTAAATTTTTTTAAACATCTATATCTACATATATCTATGCTATTGTTATAAAGAAGATAGATTTGTAAATTTTGTAGATTTTTGTATGTATTGAAATAACTCAAAAACTACTGAACAGATTTTAAAAATTCTTTCACCATTAAAAAGCTACGTTATCTGTAACATAGGTTACATTTTTTCTATTTCGTAATTCTAGGAGGAGAAGTATCGAACAACAATCTAATCAACGAGTCTTATACAAATTTGCATACTATAAGTGATTAGATTAACAATCGAGAGAGAGAGAGAGAGTGGCAGAGTTTTATTTCTTTTTGTATTGCGAATGTTTAGACACATCTGGGGTGCAAGACATGCTGGACACCTGATCTTGGAAGGCGCCAGCAAAATAAAGGATTTTAGGGGCGACAGGTTTAATCCCGGACGCCCAAAAAGGGCAAAAAAACCCTGTTGATATTATGATCAATTAGCTTGAGGTAATTCTCTGCTTTTATTTGTGCTATTAAAGTTACGTCTTTGGGTCCTTCGAGAAGCGAGCATATCGCCTTCTCAAATGCCAGCAACTTATCTGTAGTTCCTCTGGTATTGCGGATGTCCATGGGCGTCGATGAACATCTTGTTATTCCCGCTGCTCGTTTGCCCTTTCTCTTATATATATATGTAAAGTTACATGTGTAATATCTATTACATCGTTTAAATCCGAATTTAATGTTCAAATATTTGTCAGAGGATCCCACAGGAGCGCGCGCGTGACTGGGATGCGGGAGAACAGATAATGTTCTATCCCAGTTGCCTCAAGTCTATGCAAAACCATTCTCTAGGATAATAGATAAGCACGTATGTCTTATGTATTCAATCACTTAGAGGATAACTTAAGACGGTCGCTCCAGTATTTATGTCTTATTTACTGAAGTGAAAATTTATATAGCTTGGTTTTGGTGGTTTTGTTTGACATAATTTAAAGTGCGTGTCGTCAAATATTAATTTAAGTAAATCTCAAGGTTTGCTTGCGTGTTGATTATTACTTATGCGTTACAACTCTTTAATGTAATAGTTAAATTATTGCTTAGACTTGAAATGTTCACAAAAATAAAAGTATAATCTAGTAAGTTGACTTTATTGTGGAAAGAAGTTAGGAGTTTTAACTTGTTTAGTTTCATATTAATTTACATCGTTATCTTTTTAGTGTAAAAATATTAAAATTCCGAAGCTATGTAAGTTGTGTTAAACAAAATATTTCTCTACAATGCGAAGGAAAATTCTAAATTTCAGTCCAACTGAACAAAATATACGGTAGAGCTTCCGCCTTTTGTGGTTTTACAAAAGGCCAACACTTAACACCATAAGGGTCTTATTTGCACGACTTATTGTGCACGAAAATGAAACCGGGTCAAGAATGACATTTGACTTTTACACTTATGCAGGACTGGGCTATAGATACGGCATACCTGAGGATAATGAGTCAAGATGCGGTGATAAATTAGGTTTCCATTGTCGAAACCTTTCTTAAAAACATGTTAGAATAGAACATAGAAGCTCACGTTTTGTAGGAAAATAACTTATGTTTTCGGTTGTAAAATACATAATTTCATGGCACCTGGAAAACATTTTCCAACCTCCAACCTTTTAAATTACCTTTAGCAAAGCGGGTGTTGCAAAATTTGTTACCTGAATACGGTTTTACATTTCTCCTTTCTTAATGTAACCTCTTTAAATTCTATTAAACCACATATGGTTAATATTTTTAATATAACCAAAAGATTATTAGTTCTCTATACTAATATTATAATTAGAAAAGATTTGTATTTTTGTATCTATTGATTGATTTGATTTCAAAAATTCTTTCACCATTAAAAAGTTCACATTCGCTATCAGCTAGCTAACATAGCTATTAAATCTCACGCGGGCGAAGTCGCGAGCAACATGTAGTGTCTTAGAATATTGTTATTTTTTAATATTAGCTAATTTAGACCCGAATAAGGTGCCAAGAATTTCTTCATTCATATTCGCAACATAAATTTAGTCTGCAGAGTTTTATAGATATTTCGTGTTATAGACTCTTGTAAATAACTGTGAAGTCCAATTTCAATAATTTTCACATCCCTTTGTCAATATTTGATATATTCTAATAACATTTATACAGGAGCAAGGTTCATAAATCATAAATATTACGATTCCAACCCTGTGTACACAGGTAGGGTTTTGTTATGCAAATGCCGAATGAAATCGTATGATAATGAAAGGCAATAAATCTACCCTTGTGATGCGAACACGTATGACGTCATATTAAATTGAAAAAGGGAGACGAGGAAATGTACGAAAATCCTACATTTAGAACACACACATCTGAAACTAAACTATCGCAGAACTGCTTAGTTTATATTTTTGTGTGTGTGTGTGTGTGCGTAACACTACTCGATTTTTAGTTGTGCAACTTAGCAATGGAATTAGCTGTAAAACAATTGACAAACGCGCAACAGTTGTGAGGTAGGTTTTTAGTTCAAGGAGTGCGCACGTTTTACTATTGTGATCGCATCACCTTTACCCTTACAAAATATGTTTTAACAGTGGTAGTTCCCGTGTTAAAATCTTAGCATGACTGGGCCGGCACGCCTGGTGTAATACCACGACCACACAGAAAACGGGCGTGAAATGGAAGCAATTCCGTGTTTCGTTTGATGAGTGTGGTGCCGGAGGCCTAATTTATGTCCCTTTTCCTTTACCACCCTTTTTTTATAAAGTAGAGGATGGGAAGGGGATGTGGATTTGACGGTGGTGGAGAAGCATAGTAAGGGGAAATAATCCCCTTATGTGCGTCTCCTCCTCCGTCGGATAAGGGTAGGCAACGCATCTGCAATTGCAGATGTCTATGGGCAGCGTCCGCTTCGCCATTTTGACGAATTCAGGTGGCCGCTTGCTCGTTTGCCACCTTATGTTACAAAAAAAAATGTTTTATAGTATGCAATTAATGTGTTTTTTGGTGATTTAAGCACTAATGTTCTTACCGATTTTTACCAAATTTGAAAGTAGAATATAATTTAAATATAACACGTGCGTCCTTTTTCTCCCTTTTTATACATTTTGCAACGCCGCATTGTAAGCTAAATGGGGTCTGGAACAGATGGCATGGGACAGTCGTGACCATAAAGTTTCCACAAAACTTACCCCCGACCGGCTGTGTGAAATTTCAAACTGTTTTAGAATAAACTAGAAATGTCAGTGAATAAACAATTATGACTAGTAAATAAAGTTTCATATTTTTATATTTGTAATAATTTATCCTTTGGGAAAAGACGTGTGGTCCTCTAGCATTCCCTTTAACATAGCAAATTTTCTTAACGATAAAACCAGATCTAATTTTTGGTTTTAGTACATTATTCCTAATTTCTAGGTTATATTTCAATTTTTATGTTCTATTAAAAAGTTATCTTGTTTCTTGTTATGGGTTTAATACGTATCTTTTAAGGCTTAATATCGTGAACTGCACTTCAGTATAATTTTAAAGTAGGAAACTTTGCTCAGAGTATAATAAAAGGCGTGTTAGGAGGACATAGCTGAGGTTAAACTTTTTAAAATCATTTCTAAGTTGGAAAGTGCAAATAGGTTTTAAAATTGTTATTGCATTGGATAACTTTTTCGTACTAAAGTGGACTGGTGAATCTGTGGTTTTGATCGTGTTAGAGCAGAGTTTTACTATTCGATAACTCGATTATAAAGCACGCGGGGAGCTCCTGTATACGGACAAAAGAATATGCAAATTTAATGTTCTCTACTACTAAAGTTACCATTTGAATTCGATTGTTGGTTGAACATTTTCTGTTAACCCTTGTATACTTACAGATTATCAATATTAAGAAAAATGCAAGAAGCAGAATAATAAACGACTTGTAATAGAATATTATTCTTAC